CCATACACACACACACACACACACACACACACACACACACACACACACACACACATAAATAAATAAAATTTTTAAAAAATGAAATTGTATGTCTTTCTTCCTTTGGATGGAGTATTTTTAGTATTCTACTTGGTCCTCCTTTTTGATTTTTAGCTATACCTCCTATTTAAATTTTAAATGGTTACTTTGGAACAATGGCTCTCAACATGTGAGTCCTGGATCCCTTTCCAACTTAAGCATTTTTATGGATCCAATTCACTCTTGTGGCCTGTAGCTATTAATACTTACTATATTAGAACATTAAATTTCTAACATACTTATCAATTTACCTGAAAAGCAATAAAGAGCAATAATGTACTTATTACATGGTAGCTACCATATTTCTATGAGCTATCACTGAATTCCTCATCTCAAATTTACTGATCAGTAGCATATGTTTTACATTTTTTGTGAATCTCTGACTTAACAGTTGGCTTTCCAAATCTTTTGTATGCCGTTTTTTTGGTGATGTGTTGCTTTCATTGGAGGATGAGAAGAAAATTCAGCCTCACAAAAGGGGAAGGGAAGATTTTGTGTACTTCCTAGAGACCTCAGCAATACTTAGACATATGGCTCTGGGGGTTACAACAGGCATCTGTTATGGTATTAGGATAATCCCCCAACTCATTCAGGAGTTTCATCTCCATTATGTTAATGAGATAAGAGGGTAGAAATTTAATCTCTGATGTTTAGAGGCAGGGCCTCTAGGAATGCTTCTTCTGTATCAATTGATATGATCATGTGAGTTTTCTCCTTTAGTCTGTTGGAATTTTTTTTTTTTTTTTTTTTTTTTTTTTTGGTACCAGGAATTGAACTCAGGACCTTGCACTTGCCAGGCAGGCATTGTGCCACTGTGCTATATCCCCGGCCCCTATTGTTAACATTATAGATAAGACTGATTTTCTAAAGCTGAACCAGACTTTCCTACAGCAAATCTACTTGGTCTTGATTATGGTGTATCTTCCTCCTTCTCTCTGTTGAGGATTGAACCCAGGACCTCACCCATGCTAAGCACGCATTCTACTGCTGAGCTACATCCTCAACTTCTGGTCTCTCCTGCTTTTCTTTTGTGTACATGTCTTTGTGTGATTTTGATATCGGACTAGCACTAGCTTCACAAAATGAGTTCAGAAACTCTCCTTCCTCTTCCCTTTTCTGGAAGAAGAGATTGTGTAGAATTGGGATTGAGTGTTCTTGGGAGACTCATTTGAGTCTTCTTGGGAGACTCATTTGGGAGAATTCTCTAGTGAAATCATCTGGACCTGGAGATGTCTGTTTTGGAAAATTTTTAATTATTAATTCAAAATCTTGAATAGTTACAGAACTATTTGAATGGTCTGTCTCTGACTGGGTGAGCTGTAGTGATGTGTACTTTTCAAGGCCTGTGTTGCCCGGCCGTCACACTTGGTATGCTGTGCTATCACCTCACCTCTGGTAGGGTTGTTCTTCCTGCTGTCTTCTGGGTTGTTTTTTTTTTTTTTTTTTTGTCAGTTTTGCTGACAAATGGCTTTGTCAATTTTATTGATTGATCTCCCACAAGAACCAGCCTTTTATTATATTGTTTTTGTTTTCAATTTTATTGATCTCAATCTCTCCACAAGGCCTCCTTTGACATTACCCCAGAGTAACAGGTACATCTCATGGGGAAGGAAATCAGGTGCCAAGGACATGGTCTCCAGTGACAGCGAGTGGGGCCTTCTTAGCACCTGACTGGATGAAAGCCCAACCTTGTCCTTGGTGCTCTCAGAACCTCTCCAGCAGACAGGCTGTCCCAACCTCATGGAAGGTCTAGACTGCCCTCTCCACCTTGGCAGGCACAAGTGGGGGTGGGGCACAGATGTTTCCTGTGGGGTTGGGCAGGAGCAGAAGAGTTACTGTGTCTTCTCTTGGGCTGGGTTGCTATTTTCTTGGTCCTTTATGTTGGGAGAACTAGATTTCATTGGAGATTTTTGTCTGTGCCCATGGGATGATTATTGGTCCACTTCTTCTCTACCTTCCAGTCTTCTTGTGATTGTTTTATATCAGATGTCTGGGTTTGGGCTGTTTCAGAAGGAATAGGAAAAGGACGCTGCTCCATCTTCCCAGTGCATGTCAGAAAGGGGAGTTTGCAAACACCATGTCATATAAGAATCTGTCATAGAAGGCGTACAGCACAGAGTGAGCACTGTGCAAAATGCTTGCTATTTTTCAATGTTTTGAAGATGCTTTAAATTCTCAATTTGATGACTTCAAGTGTTGTCATCCCCTGGTGCTAAATTCTGAAATTTGAAATTCTGTCTCTGGCATTTCCAAGTGTGAACTTGACCTTTCTTCCTTCCCTTTTTTCTTACCCCTGCACCATCCTCAGGAAATCACTGATCCTGAGCGAGTGTCTTGTCACCTTATCTTGCAGAGAGCAGAGAGCGTCAATTCGGTTCAAGACCACTCTCGTGAACACTCTCACAGATGTCCTCCGTAACAGGCCAGGATGGGTGGAAGTGAAAGAGTAAGACCCCCAGCCCCTCCAACTTTGTCCCCTCTCCCCTTTACCTCACAGGTCCTTGATTCCCTTTGAGGTCTCCCTGGGTAGCTTCTGAGGCTTCCCACGAAGTGGCTCTGACATTGGTTTTAGCACCCGCAATGGGTTAGGTGCATTATTGACACCATCTCTGCCTTACAAACATCCAGTAAGCTATGATAATGTGCAGAGTACTAAGCCAATTACTTAAGTCACCTGGCTCTAAGTGTCATCAACCCCCTCAGCTTGACTACCACAACCAATGTCCTGGGGCTCTCAGAGGAGTAAGGGGTGCAGCGCACAGACCTGCTGGTCATGTCCTCCAGGGGTGGGCCCACGTCTAAGGCTGTTCTTTCCTGGCCACTTAGCAGTCCTTAACCTGGAACTTGCCCTGTAAGCCTGCACTTCTTCTTTCATGCTGGGCTTTGGAGATTCTTATGGAGACAAGCATAGGATGCCTGGCACATCGTAGGTGCTAGTATTAGAGAAGGCTAAGGCCTGAGTGTGTGTAACAGACACCCAAAGTGAAAAGGTTTCAGAGGCTGGAAGCTTCTGTCTGAACCACTGAAGCCCATAAGCAGCAAGTTCAGAGATGGTGAGGAAATGCCACAGAAAAGTGGGACGTGTCTAGTTCCATCTTTCTGTGTGTTTGCTTTCCTGCAAAACTTTCTCATTGTCTGAGATGAGTCCCAGCTCTGTGGCACATTCCAAGCAGGAGCAAGCAGGAAGGAGCATGGAAATGTGTGACCTTCTCTGAGAGGACACTACCCTGAAGTCCCTCACCTCTTGACTGGCAGGATTTAGCTATGTTGCTATACCCAGCTGCCAGGAAATCTGGAAAATAGTATGCACGCTGCATTTCCCTGGGTAAACACTGAGACTATGCTTATCATAGAAAAAGAGGAAACTGGATCTAAGGAGTCAAGGACCAGCAGCCACCAAGCCATAGTGCTTAATAAGTGTTTGCTGCCCAACAGTAGCTCAGCTGCTGGACTTGGTAGGCTCCACATGCATGATTTCTTTTAATCCTCTCAAGTCTTCTAGGGAGCCATTCTGTCATTCCCATTTTACTAGTGAGAAAATGAGCAAGTCATGAAAACATTGTGTTTGAAAGTACTTAGTTCTTAAGGGTTTGGGGAGGACTTGTGCCTTGTCTCCTACATGTGGGGTCACAGGCTCACCTCCACCCTGTCCTAGCTGCCTCTCGGAGAGCGCAGGACCAGGTGAACACTCATTGTGAACCTTGGCGCTGCAGTTCAGCAGGGGTGCCAGGCTGCAGTTGCCCATCCCACAGGAAGCCAGCACTGGGCTGTCCTAGCAGGCTGCAGTCCAAGGAGCCAGAGAGGGCCTAGTCCTCCCTGTGGACCTTGGGGACTATTCCAGCAGTGGCGGTGGTGATGATTGGAGCTTCCGGGGATTTGCCTTCGTGGGTCTCCGATGATTGTGCCAGTGTCAGAATGGGGCTTCATTTGCTGAAGCCAAAGGAACTAATGTAATGAGAGATGACTGAGTGGGTGGGTGGGGGCTGGGGGGTGAGACACGGGGGAAGGGAGGTGCTGGCAGGTGGGGGTGGTTCATGGGATAGGGCACTGTTCTCCACGTGCTGTGTGACCTCAGGCCCTTTCTGTCTCTTTCTCAGCCTCTGCTCAGTAGTTGGGTGGACCCTCGGACAGTGAGTCTGAAGACTAGTCCAAAAAAAAAAGACTAGTCCACTGCTGACAATGGTAGTCATACTCCATAGCTGATCCCAGACTGCCTCACCAGGAAGGGCCAGTAGGCCAGGTTTTCCACCAGACACCAGTCTCATGTTTTAGGACCTAACTTGGGGCCTGGTATTTCCAGACAGAGCAGACTCTCAGTCTGTTAGGTCAGAGTCTAAAACAAATATGACCAAGTTACCCTTTCTCTAGCGTCCCACTGAGAAGGTGTATGTGAAGCCTGGAGCTGCAGCAATCATCTTGGGAGCCTGAGGTGATGAGGATCAGGATGCCCTATCAAAGTTGGCAGAATGAGAAGTCACTGTAACACACACCTCCTCCTTTTACCAGCTGCATGTGGCTTCCTCTGCCAGCAGTTTATGTGACTCTCACGCATTTGTCAAAGCCTAGAAACTAACCCTGATGCTATTAGGTACACCACAGTGTCTTGGTTACTTTGTTCTTGTTGCTGAGACAAAATACCTGATGCCCAAACTTAAGGGAGAAAAGGTTTATTTAGCTCACAGTTTGTGGAAGTTTCTGTCTGTAATCAACTGGCTCCAAGGGAGGTGACATGACACAGGGGCACCAGCTCAAGGTGGCAGAAGACAGCAAAAGCAGCAAGAGCAAAGGAGGAGAGCAAGCGCTTCTCCTCCCTTATACTGTATGTAGGCAGCCCCCCTCCCCAGGGCTGTAGCCCCCACACAGTCTCTGTGGCGTCCTCTTGCATAGGATGGGGATGTTTACAAAGGACGGTGGCTCCCTGCTGAGTAGCTCAGTTAAACTAAACTTCTCAGGTTGACACAATGTATCAACCATTACACACAGACATCCTTTAATTTGTACCCTTTTTTTTTTTTTTTCCACTGACCTTCTTTCTCTGCTTCAGAATTCCACCCAAGATCCCACACTGGGTGTAGTTGGCCTTGTGTCCTTGTATGTGCGGCATTCCCAGCCTTCACTTGCCTCCATGTCCCGTCTGAAGCGCTCTTTAGCTGTGTTGCAGGGTGTCGCTGGCTTTGGACTTGTCTCGTGTTTTCTTGCCACAAGCCCTTGCATTTTGACATGAGCATGGCAGAGTGCCACCCTGCAGTCCCCACGCAGCACATCAAAGGGCTCTTGATGCCAGCGTGGCCTACTGCTGGGGACTTGCCTGGATCACTGAGTTAACGGTGGTGTCTCCAAGGTTTTCTCAGTGAAAATTAGCTTTTCTTTTAAATTGCAATTAATAAATACCTTGTGGGCCAGTACTTTGACAGTATGCCAGTATTCTAGCCCCAACAAATTTTCGCATCATGGTATTAGCAGTCTTTGAAGACCCTTACCTAGATCTAGTAACCGTTACAATATTTGTGCAGCTTGGTGACTTGAACTCTGCATTTATTAGTGACGTTCTCCTGAAAAAGTTTTTCTCCTGCTTCTTATCTGTGTATTTATGTAGTGCTGGTTTGGCTCATCCGTGCTACTGTGTTGACTAGAAATTTCCATTCTTGATTCTCCAGTAAGGAAACTGAGGCCCAGAGAAGAGGACAAGGTCACAGAGAAGTTAGGAGTCTACCTGTGGCCCGGCTGCAATCGGTGCTCCTTGACCTGCGCACCCTGGCTCTGTGCCAGTGTGAGGCTGGGGAGGGGAGGGACCTGGAGTCTGGATGGGGCCCGCCCGAGGGCTGCTTCTCCGGCCCATTCCCTTAGGCGGCTGAGCAGTTCCTCACACCCACTGTGCATGGTGACAGCCTGGGGGAGGGTGAGGTCCCAGGTTTTCATTAATAATTTAGGGAGACAGTGGGACCTGGGGACTTCCTGGCCTCAGTGTTACTCCTTTACCGTAGGAGTCACCACCTGCACAGTGTGTGCTACTTACTAAGGATTGTTCTGAGATGGGTTTTGCTTGGATGAAGGAGCTTCTGGATCATTAGGCAGTGTCTAGGAGCGCTTGTGTCTGCATGTGACGTCTGTCTTGTTATTTATGTTTTTCTATCAGTCAACATTAAAGCAGGGAAGGGCCAGTGAGATAGCTCAGTGGACTAAGTGTCTGCTTAGGGAAGCTCAGGGCCCAGGCTCAATCCCAGCACCACATGCCATGCCAGCCCCACCCTTGGGTGCACTGAGTCAGCCACCAAACAAGGGGTGGTGACACATGCCTCTAATCCCAGTGCTGCGGAGGCTGAAAACAGGAGGATCGCTATGAGTCAGAGCTGTATAGTGAGACCCTCTACCAAATGCATTAAAAAAAAATTTAAAGTAGGAACATGGCTGTTAAATTTTGTAAAAGGCGCTCTGAATTTTGTGGGAGGGACCAGGTACCAGGCTGAGTGATGTGGGCGCACGGTGCCCCTGAAAGAGAGAGAATTCTCCACAGAGCCACTGCCCCCACCTTTGAGCCCAGGGTCAGGCTGGACCTGCCTCCTGCCTCAAGCCCCGCAACATGCAGGTGGTGTTCAGGAGAGATACCCTCCAGCAGCGCAAGAACAGGGAAGCAGGTTGAGTCTTGTTCCTGGAGAGCTGCAGAGGGAGCCCTGTTCACAGCAGAGCCAACTTCACAGTCACCACTCCCACATTAGCGTCCTGTCCCAAACCTGAGGGCAGTGTGGTCTTGGGCTCATAGCCCCATGAGGCAGGAATGTTGACGGGACCTCGAAAAGGAGTCGCCTGGGGGGATCCTGCGTGTAGGTCACATAGAGAGTCCTTGTGACTTCTCCTGGGTTGGGAGATACAGTGGTGTGGACCCTTTCAGAAGCACGGTCTCCCTCAGCACTGACTCCCACATAGAGGAGGGGAGGCTGGCACCGCTGTCACCCTTGGTGCTCAGTGTCTGCCTCAGGCCTTGCCAAGATAGTTTTCAAGGCTCAGCTCATTGTACATTAAAGAAAAAACAAAGGAGGAGGGGACAACCCAAACACCTCTTAATAGGAAGACAGGTAAATACACTGACTGTGGTAGTCACCCGATGGAAGGAGCGTGGTGGTACAAATGGCTGAATCAGGAGGGGCTCAGGGTGCAGCTCTGTGGTGGAGTATGTGCTTGGCACGAGTGAGGCCCTGGGTGTGATCCATCCCCAGTGCTGCAAGAGGAAGAGAAGGAGGAGAAGGAGGAGGAAGAGGTGGAGGGGGGAAGGGAGCGGGAGAGGAGGAGGAAAGGCAGTAGCAGTAGCTAGATTCGACTCCTATGCATCACATGGGTAAGTCTCTAAAACAAGAGGTTGATGGGGAGGAAAAGTAACAGACAGATACAGTTCTAACCCTGGAGCTTGGACCCCAGAAGCTCATGGCCTAGGTTAAGATCCTGGCCTGCCACTCACGACTGGGTAAACCTGGGTGAACTTCCTAACCTCTCCGTACCTGCTTCTATTGCCTCTTCTGTAAAATGGGAATAACAACAGACACTACACATACAGCTACTGACTTCACTTGAGGCATGAGAGAAGACAATAGACCAGGCAGGAATAGACACAGTGGGCTTCAGTTATAGCGACAGTTTTTTTTAGAAAGTGGAAGCAATCATGGTGATGCTTTATTTTCTGCTCCATCTTTTTGGAGCCCATCTTTTTGCAACCATGTTCTGGTACCCAGATTTGATAGATGACTGTGTTCCCTGTCCTTCTCCTGTCCTGGTAGCAAAGGCCTGGGGTCAGAATTTCTACTCTGGCAGAGCTGAGTGTGGTCCTCGGTGAGGAAGGTCATTGTAACACCCTAGAGCGGCAGGGAAGATCACTGTCACCTCTCGGCTGTGCTCTCAGGACTGGTGATGGGAAACTCTGTGAGCTGCGAGGAGCTTACAGATGTGACCCAGTTCTACCACTTGATACTGCAAGCTGCAGGGTTGATGGCAACATGGGCGCCCCTGGGCCCAGGCAGTTAACAAGGACAGAAGTGTCACATGCTGTAGGGTGAGGGGGAGTGTACTTCCGAGGGGAGATGTCCTGTCTGCTGGTAGCCACTAGGAGGCACTCAGGGCTCCATGTGGCAGATCTGCTGAGGGTCCAGGAGGCAGTTGCCTGCAGCGGCAGCACCCATAACACCTCCTAGAGGCTCCTGTGGGACTCACCAGGTCCTCCCTGGCCCTAGACCCCAGCACCACTGAGGCCGTCACCGTGACTTTTCTCCCCCAGTGAAGGGGAGTGGGATTTCTACTGGTGCGATGTCAGCTGGCTCCGGGAGAACTTTGACCACACCTACATGGACGATCACGTGCGGATCAGTCACTTCCGGAACCACTATGAGGTGAGCTGGGCCTGTGGACTCATGTAACCGGGTGTGGTGAGGGGCAGAAGCTGGTATGGGGGCTCAAGGCCCAGGGTGAAAAAGTATAAGGGATGTTGGGGTACACATGAGGGTGGGGCGTCTGTGACCTAAACACTTGATGAGCCAGTTGGCTTGAGGGTGTAAGGAGCTAAGGTCTGAGGCCTAAGGATGGAGATTTGAGGTTATAGGCTTGGAGGAATAGTTTAGTTTGAGGGTGCAAGCTCCAAAAGAGGAGGATATTATGGGGATTAAGCAGAGAAGTTTGGGGGTAGACAGAAGGGAGGTCTTGGAGGATCCAGACCACAAAGACAGCCCTGGAGGAGTCATTAGTGGAGATGCCAAAAGGTTAGAATAGCTTAGTGGTTAAACTCAGAGCTTGAGTCAGAAAGAACTGGTCAGAGCCCAGGTGTGCTGCCAGGTAGGTGGACAGCCTTGGGCAACTACTTATCCTGGCCAAGCCTCAGTTTCCCCGGTTGTAAACTGGGGATAATCACAGACTGCAGCAGAATGGGGGGCAGTAGAGCTGGTGGGGCAGGGCTCTAGGGGGTGCAGGAAGCTGAAGGCCCGCTGCCTGCCCACCACCCAGCTAACCCGCAAGAACTACATGGTGAAGAACCTGAAGAGGTTCCGGAGACAGCTGGAGCGCGAGGCAGGAAAGCTGGAGGCGGCCAAGTGCGACTTCTTCCCCAAGACATTTGAGATGCCCTGCGAGTACCACCTGTTTGTTGAAGAGTTCCGCAAGCACCCGGGAATCACCTGGATAATGAAACCCGTGAGTGACTGCTTAGGGCCTGGGGCAGGGCGACATCAGGGGGGTCCCGTGGAGTCCAGGGCCCTGGTGCAGTAACAGCCTGGAACACCTCGGAACACCTTCTCTGCTCCCTTCCCTGCAGCACTCGGACCCAGCAGCTGCCTGCTGCACTGAGCAGGTGCTCAGGGAGTGTTAACAGAAGGCCTAGGGGTGGTCAGGATTCCAGGGCAAGGGGTGCAGAGCCCCTTCTCTTATGTACAAGGAGACAGTGGCCAGGCCAGGACAAATGCTTGTCACATGACTGTCCCTGGGGGTGTCAGAGCCCCATTTCAGAGATGAAGCACTCAGAGCCTGTGTTCTCAAATATCCCACAGGTGCTGGAACCAAGGCTGGGGTCACAGATCCCAGAAAGTGACACATTGTCTCTGCCCTCTGCTCGAGGGCAGACTGTGTGCCAACCAAGGATGTGTGCGTGGCCACATCTGTGCTGAGTGTCAGTAAGAAGAATGGTGTCAGGAGAGGGAACAGCAGAGGGAGTCTCCCCACCTAGTCATGCTTCTCAGGAGAAGTATGAGATTGGGCCCATACAAATGGTCCTACTTCCTAGCTCGTGACCCCAGCTGCGTGAGCAGGTACCTCAACTGCTCTATGTCGCAGCTCCCCACCCATAAGGTGAGAATAACTATGATATCTACTGTGTAGTGGTGTTACTAAACAAACAAGTTAGGCAGGTAATGCACATAAGGACTATTCTTAGTCAAGAGTAAAAGAATTGGTAGTAATCTTTGACCTGAAGGATGCCTAGGAGCAGACTGGACAAGAAACAATGCTGTAGGCAGAGGGAACTGTATTGCACTAGGCCTTGCCCTGGAAGCAGCCCACAAAGGGAGAGAGGTGAAGTGGGATACTGCCAGTGAGTGTCTCAGGCCTTCCCTGTGTCAGGACTATCCTTACCTCAAAGCCACCACAGCCTCAAAGGGCATCTCCAAAGCCTCTTGTGGTCCTGGACCCAGATGGTGCTAGACCCAGGAAAGGGTTGGGGTGGTCCAGCCCTAATTTATGGAGCTCCATGTTGGTTGATGCTGATTTAGCAGTTAGCCCAGTGGTTGGGGGGGGGGGGTAAGAGAAAGCAGCCCAAGAGATGCTTCTACCAAGCCAAGATGTCCCAGACTTCCTGGCCTTCCTGGGCCCCCTCCTCCGTGTCATGGGCAGGCGTGGTGAGGTCTTTGGCTGGCAGCAGGGATTAGGATGAGTTCTGTGACCCAAGGGGTGGATTCTAGCCCGGCATTATCCTCCCAGACAAATGATCATCTGTGCTAATTGCGAATGAGCAATTGCACATTAAGCTGATTCCTCTCCCAGCCCAGGGCCTTTGTTAGAGGCAGACGCGATGACAGCTGTAATTAAGAGGAGGAATCTTGGCTGTGTGTGTCTGTGTGTGTGAGTGCACGCGTATCCTCTCTTCTGAACAGCTGAGGCACCCTGTCTGGGGTGCCGGCTGTGGAGAGCAAGTGTTTCTACTCTGTATGAGTCTAACCCAGTTCTCAGTCTGTGTCTACCACTTATGAGCTGTGTGACCCTGAACAGGTTACTGGGCCTCTCTCAGTCTCTTTCTGGTATTCATGGGCCCCACTCTGGGGTGGGGAGCAAAGGTAATGAAGTGGTGCGTGTTACATACACAATTATGTTTTTTTTTTTTTTTTTTTTCCCTGAACTGGAGATTGAACTCAGGTCCTTGCACTTGCCAGGCAAGCGCTTATTTACTGAGCTATCTCTCTGGTTACATACACAGTTATGTCACACCTGTTATGCCAAGAGCTTGGCATGAGGTGCCCAATAACTGACTTTTTCCATGTTATTTCGAAGAGGCCAGGAAACAGCATTTCTTTCACCTGTCCCTGGGAAGCATTGAGGTTAGTGTTTCTCAAACTTAAATGTAGCCATGCATCAACTAGTGATCTGGTTAAAAGGCAGAGCCTGACTCTGCAGCCCTGGGCTGGGCTGAGGGGCTACAGTTCTAACTCCCAACCCCGATGCCACTGCAGCCAGTCCCCAGATGGATGACACTTGGAGTGGGGAGCTCTGAAAGCCATGGTTCCCCAGCCTGGGCCCAGTTGGCTCATCTAGCTTGTGAATGTGCTCTTCTGAGCAGTTCCCAGGACTCTCCAGGAGAACCCCAGCCCGGGGCATGGGCATTTAAGGACTCAGAGGCTCATGTAATATTGTGGGGACCAGCAGGCCAGAATTTGGCAGGCCAGGCCAGTGTTGGAAATGCAGGAGCGATTTCTATGTCACAGTCCTCCTCCTCCTCCTCCTCTTCCTCTTCCTCCTCCTCTTCCTTGTCCTCATCCTTCTCCTCCTCCTCCTCTTCTTCTTCCTTCCTTTTTTAGTACTTTTAGTACTAGGCATTGAACTCAGGGCTTTCACACTGAGGTATATCCTCAGCTCCTTTTTATTTTAAGGTGGTCTTAATAAATCATAGCCTGTGCTCAAATTTACAGTGCTCAAATTTACAGTTCTCCTCCTGCCTTAGCCTCCCAGAGTGCTGGGGCTACAGGGGTGTGCTGTGATGTCCAACTGAATTGCTTCTTTTCTAAAAACCTCAGGTTTTGTTCTTAAACCCTCAACTGGGGGCTGGAGAGATGGCTCAGTGGTCTAAAGCACCTACTTAGAACAAGATTGGCAAGGCATCAGGGACCGCGGTTCAATCCCCCAGCACCACATGCCAGCCAGCCCTGCCCCCTGGTGGGCTGAGCTGGCCACACACACCACACTCTC